GGGTCACCCAGCACTGGCCTCAGGCTCAGAAGCCAGAGTATATTGTCCTCTGAATGCCTCTGGAAGCTCTGAACACAGGAAAAGGGCAACCTCCCCTGGGCACCACCACAGTCTCCTCAGGGAGCCCCCACAAACTGTGCTAACCTTCCAACTGCTGGGGTGAGAAATCAGAAGCCAGCACTGGAAAGATCTCTTCTTTACCAAGACAGCTTCCACTTCAGGATCTTAAAACTACTCCCCCAAAGGTAAGTCCCTGCATTTCTGCCTTGGAGGTGCCCAGGTTGACCCACCTCAGGACAGCACCCTCCAGTGTTTGGCTCTGAGTAGGCAGGAATGGAAACTGGCCCTGAAGCTGGCTCCCCATCAGGGCCTTGGGCTCTGATGGCAACTGCTCAGTGGATTGTCTTCCTGTCATCCTCTGGGCACCCTGGAGGAAACCGTGAGGACAGATTCCAGAGTCCCTGTCCAGAGGGCTGACCATTCTGTCTCATGGGAAGTCTGTTCTGACCCACGCACCGGATGAGTGTGCCGTGCCACCTCTGCAGTGCTCCTGAGACACTGTGTGTACCAAATTGGAGCAACTGTACCTTCACTCGGTCAGCCAGGGCCAGCTGAAGCCTCAGCCCCGCTCTACTGGCCTGTGTGCTGAATTCACTATGAGGGCTTTGCTTCACAAAACCTCAATCTGCTCTGCTCCCAACTGTCTTTGCAAGCCTGGACAGCTGCTTCCACTTCCTGGCCAGAGCCTTCCCACTGACCCGTTTCTCCATGCAGAAAGCTCAACTCCAGGTGCATGTTTGGGGAATCGCCTTAAAACCACATGAAGTGTCTTCAGGGATCACTTCCCTAAGGTAAGTTTGACTGGAATCTCAAGCACTCGTCCTTTCCAGTTATTTCCTCTTCCAGGACATCTGTCACAAAAGTACCCATGATCTTTCACACACAGGCCATGTTTTCCAATGATAAGTCCATCCGGAAGAAACAGTATGCCCTACAGCTGAAGTCACCCACTGTGCCCCCACCCCATGAAGACCTGCAGACCTGGGGCACAAATGTACATTCGGAAAAATCTATTCATAAATCCTGCTTTTCACAGGTCAAGGTCACAAAGACCAAAATACACAACGGTGGGAAAATGTCTTTGTAAATATAAGTTGGGAGAAGTAACAAAAATCTGGACTTACAAAAAACCACTGTGCCCCGTCAATGCTGGCACACAAACCTAAAACCAATTGCCATCATTTCCTACAACTTAAAATCACACTCTCAACAACTGGTAAATAGAGTACCATAGAAACATATATTTCACAGCTTTCTGTAGAAAATAAACAAAAGGAGATAAGGGGTGCTAATGCACAAACTTTTGCTCAAAACCAAGTTTCAGTATATTCTTCAAACAGAGGGAGAGAGGGGAAGGCGGAAGGAGATGGCCACAAAAAAAAAAAATCTTTTTCTGATGAATGGAATTGAAGAATTCTAGAGTGGATGAGCCAGTCAGTGAGTAAATGAAGTAAATCAAGGCAACCACAGGGATTGAGGCAACCTACAAACTAAAAACTCAAGGTGTTCATGAGGAAAGTTTCCATGGCGCTTACTAGGCAAGTGGACCATGCTGACTCTCCCGCCGCAGTGCACACAGGCCCTGCAGGTCTCCTTACCTGATGCACAGGCACTTTCTGCGGGGTGTTCTGGGGTGACGGGTGGAGTTGTGCCCAAGGCTGGTGATGAGGGTGCGGAGGGGAAGACTGGTGCAACCCTGGGTGGGGCTGTAGTGGAGGGCAGCTTGGCAGCTGCTGAAAAGATGGCTGCTGACCAGGATGCTGTTGGCCGGGTATCAGTCGTTCCTGGATTGCTTGTGGATCTGCAAGGCCAACACCAGGACATCCGTTTGGTCTCATGTGCCCGGTCAACTCCCTTGGTGCCGAGGACATGCCCATGAATGGACGAGGCTGCGGCATGTTTCTAGGGCCTATATTCCTCTGTCCGAGTCCCATGGCACCAGGGGGCTGGTGAGATGGCTGAGGGTGGGACATATTTGGATAAGTGCCAACTTCCATTGGCATCCCAGCACTTCCGGGTCTGACTTGCGGAGGAGGCGTGCCTGCTGGATTACTCATTGCTTTCATGGGTGACATGGGAGGTGGAGAGGCGTAAGTTCCCTGAGGCTGTGAAGGATGCATAGTTTGTGTGTTCATTTGGTTAAGTGAGCCACTGGCGTGGATGGGCTGCTGGTGCATTAGTCCTTGACCACTGTTTGATGGGAATCCTACAGCATTGGGGTACCTTGGTACGGACTGATTCATTGGAGTACTGTTTGTAAGGCCTAAATTTTGATTCATCCCTGTACTGTTAACTAATCCCTGATTTAGGTTACTGTAAGGGTATCGAGAATACTGCCCTGAGTTGTTTACAGTAGGGGAGGGGACTGTCTGGCTCCGAGAACTAAAGTTAAGGGTTTGTGGCCTGACAGCCCCTTGTTGAGGAGGGTTTGGGGAGAATCTGGGACTGTGGGCAACGGATTCTCCATGGAGAGCAGCAGGGGGGTGGTGGTGAAACTGCTGCACTGAGTGACGCAGGGAAGGTGCCATGCTGGGACTCTGCTGAGGCATGTGCGACAAGTGGCCAGGTCCTGAGGTGGCAATGAAAGGATTTCCCTGATTGAGGCCCTCTTGACCTTGGGAAAACTGGCTCATCCTCTGCTGTGGCTGGCCGTGCTGCTGCATGGAAAAATCCCCACGTGCCATATAGCTGCCCATCTGCTGCATGTGCTGAGGGTGGCCCTGTGCCGGTGGCCCCGACGGAGCTGGCTGGGGTTGCTGTTGCTGGTGGGGTGCTGGGATCTGATCTGGGACCTGAACAGCCCGAGGGCCCCACATGGAGCCACTGTCCACAAAAGATTGCCCGTGCCTTTCATTCTGCATGCCAGGATAGACTCCCATCTGACCGCCGCCACTGCCTCCATGCGGCACCTGGGGAACAGGAGGGGTATGATACTGCGAGTGCGGAGATGCCAATCCATTCCCAGGGGCACTGCCCATCATTCTATTAGGCTGATCCATCAGATGCATCTTTTGTTCATACTGATTATAGTGATCAAAATGGGTCAACTTGGTTTGATTTTGATTCGTGGAAGGATGATGAAGGGATGGCTGTAAGGAGGCGAAACCTTGGTCCATGGGCATTTGCTGACCCATGGGATTCACTGGGTTTTCAGGGTAGCCACATTCTCCAAGGCCTTCAAGGCCTTCACTGAATATATTCCCATCCTCGCCAAAAAGACTCATCATTCCTGGATCCGCCATCTTCTTCCAACACACGGCTCCTCCAAACACAGCTTGGGAGCTTGTCTGTGCTTCTTCGCTGAGGTGCTTGTCCTCAAAGCCTATAATCCTTAACTAATCTTCCTCATGTCATTCTAAATTTCTTTAATTCTCGTGGACCCTGCAGTGTCAGGCGAGGTCTGGATATAGGTCCTAGAAGGGAGCAGGAGGTAGGAAGAAAGAAAAAAACAAAGAATTAGGAACAAATGATAAGAACCAGAAGAATTTTCCACATTTGAAATTAGCTTCCATCAACAATACTAATCTAGGCCCCTTGCTGAGCTGTATTTTACAAATCTGGTTCACTTTAAGGGAAACTCATTAGCTTCTACCAGACGCATTATGATCAGTTACGTAGAGAGCCAGCAAAACACTAACCTTAACCTTAAATTAATCCATTCACTACACTTCCTCACATTCCGTTCTTGGATGGAACAGAACAAAAGAACACAACATGAAGCAGCAGCAGCTGCCCAGCAGGCAAGCAGATGTATGAATATAGCCAAGCAACCCATCTGCTGAACTAAAACCCTGGAAATGCTCTGGTTACCAACAGCCGCCCTTAACCTCACTCCCCAGAGCAGTGTAATCAGATGAGCGCAGCACCAAGGACTGCGAAAAGCCCAACTTAGTTAAATTGACTGGAGGATTATACAAATACCAAAATCAGTCATTTTGTACAAATTAGATATTTACAGCCCACATACAACTATGTAACTGCAACAGAGGCCTCTAACAAGAAAGCGCCCATAATGAGGTTGAAAAGCAAGCTTGAGAACAGCACAATAAATTCATAATTTCATTATGCTTAATAGCAGGAATAGACAAGATTCAGAAAGAGACTACAAGAAAAGCTTTCATTCTCCATGAGGACCGATTTGACTCATGGCTCTGGGCCCACCATGTCCCAGATTTGTGGGGCGGACGGTAGCAGGGTCCAGACACCAGCTTCATTATGCTCCACCACCAGCTCTGGTGAGGGCTGAGGACCCCAAGTGACCACTCAGGGAAACTAGCTGGTAACTGAGGACTGTTGGTAGAGACAGACCTTTTCAGAAACTAGCCAAAACTGGATGTTATTTGAACAGAATAAAGTTAAAAATATCCACCAGACCTTTTCAAACCCTGATGGGACAAAGCAGGACACAGCAGGAGGGAGTGGAGCTAGCTGGCGCATCCCTCCACCTCCTATGCTAACAGTATAGCTAGCTACCCAGCGTTGTGCCTTCTCTGTTAACTCTTTCCAATGGATTTGGGGTCAGATTAAAATAACCAACTTGATTTGAAGAATGCTTCAACAACCAAAACAGAAAAGTGGTTTTGTTCACTGCTTATTGAATCAACAAGCTAGTAAAGAATGAACTCACATAAGAAAAATGCCTGAAATCTTAGACATCTTTGGAATTTAACTCATTGATTTCCTCTTACAAGCGCATGAAGCACTGTGTGATGCTGACCCAGTTGAAGCACCGAAGCACAGGATGAAGACTTTCTAACGATGCTCGAAACAAACTCGGCATAAATTCCACAGTGCACTTCTACAAGAACAGAGAAATAAGCGACTCTGCTGAGGAGACACCCAATGAGACAGACAAAACCCACTTCTGCCTGCCCTACTCTAACATATTCGGAACACGGAGGAAGCTTTGTTTATGGAAATGTAAACAATGGTCCGGCTCACTGTCAGCACTACAGACATGACACCTGAGAGGGTCTCCAGGTCCCTTGCTTTCAGGTGACAGCTGTCAGCTACCGTCAAAGGTCTCCTCACTCTGCCACTAACTGCCATCAATTTTCTGATCTACTTTCTCCAAATGCAGAGGTCAGACAGGGGACAATCAGGTACACACGAAAACCATTTTGTTGAAAATGTGCCGATTTTCCACAAATGACTAAAAAATCCAGGCAAGGAGTAGAAATCTCCAGTGCTAAATGCAACAAATGTTAAATTTGTGCCTAAGCTAAAAAGCTTAAAAAGTTAGTCTTCATTTACTCAAGGCTCACTCTTAACTTTCAAGGAAATAAACACTGTGGACTTTAAAATACCTTAAGCCTGCCAAGCAGCCCACTTCACACATCAGCTGAAGAAAAGTAGTATCACTTGTATGTCCTGGAAAACCCTGCTTCGTATCCCAACAGTTCATCTGCTGAGGCCCACCAAGTGTGTTGAGTGGGGAGGGGGCACAGTCTGGGTAGATCCTGGCCCCCTCTGCCCTGAGGAGAAGGGAGCACAAAGGGCGCCCAGTCCTCTCTCCAACAGGGCATCACAGAGCCAGCTTGGAGACGCAGCAGTGGAGTTGGCACTTGCTTTTTATCAGCTAAGGGCCCAGCAGAAGGGGAAAGGAAGTTGTACAGGCATGAGAAGAGACAAAACAGGGCCTCACTGAGAGTAATTACACCAGACACTTGGCTTTGTTCCCCTCCTTCCGGTTCCCTACTCATTCCCATTAAGACTCCACTCCCGGAGGCATGAAAACTGCCAGCATTATATGGTATCAAGTAAGCATGTCACCCACTGCAGCTGTGACCACACTCAGGTGTGCCCCAGGCAGAAGAGTTAAAAAAAACCTGTGGCTCCGCAGTCTACCAGCAGTGACTGCTAACGCTCAGGCCACCTCTAGGACCAACTGGCAACTGTGCCAGGACTCCATCTGTAACTATGGTCCGGTCCGTACTTCTGCCCTGAGCTAACCTAATTAGTTGATTTTGGTCATCTTTTTATTGGATTAAGACCATCTGAATGCCCACTTTCCCAGGTCACAGCTGCAGCATATCATTTTCTGGTTTTATACGTTGTTTACAATAAAATTCCATTTTGAAGCCTTCATCTTTCTCTACATTCAATGTCTACATTGCCTATGGCTACAGATCACTGTCAAGTGGGTCAGACCTAAGAGTCACAATCAGAAAAAAAATGTTCAGTTTCTAGTAGCTATGTATTACAAGTAGCCAAAGGGGTGAAATAAATTTTAATAATTTCCATTTAACCCTTATGAAACCTAGTGTGCACTGAAGGAGAGTTCACAAGATGTATGTGTTCAGAAGTGAGAAGGGAGCACAAAACTGCCACCTGAGAGAACCATCAGCATGGGCAGAAGTCCACGACAATGCCAGTTACAAGCAGTTCCAAGCTGGCGAGCATGTTTGCACCTTCGCCCCAAACTCCTCTTCACAGGTGAGTTAATGGGACTAAGCAGCATATAAAAAACGTTTTAATGACAGTTTCCCAAAACGGAAAATGATGAATGAATAAGATGGCGGCATGATGAATAAGGGCAAAATCTAAAGCCAATGTTGGGTCTACTTCATTCAGAGATGAGTCCGAAAGACAGTGCTTCTTCAAACAGAAGCAAATTAAATTCCTTTCAAGAAATTTTCCAAAAGAGTCTAACTTTTAGGAACAAGCATGTCAGAGAACCAAGCAGGGACTGATGGTAACTTCCCTTGGAATAAATAGGCACACCAAAACAAGTAAACAGCACAAAGAACCAACAATGAGCTGAGGATGTAGTTTGGACTGCTTAAAAAAAAGTTTTTAATTAAAAAAAAATTAGCAGTGCAAGCAAGGAATACACAAGAAGTCAATGAGAAGCTATAAATATTTGAGGAGAACAGAAAATGACTTCATTATTTGGTCAGTTTTTATTATCTAGTATCACATTGATTACTATTATTATTGGTCAGTTTTTATTATCTAGTATCACATTGATTATTTAATGCAATGACTTAGCAACCTCACAACATTGAGCCAATTCCTAATTACCCCACAATTCTGAAGACATTTGTGCACTTGAGTTTTAAGGTATACCACAATGCTGCAGGCTTGTCACAGGCATAGACCAGAAACGTAGCAAGGAAACAGGTAAATTCAAAACACCTTTCAGATGTAAACATTTCCTCTAGTTCCACCATGTGGATGGCAGAAGTCTTCCATGAGTGTCCAGCACACCTTGGCAAGGATGAAGTCATAGAGTATTTGTTGAGATACTGAGGATTTCTTTTCTTTTTTTTTATTTTTTTTTTTATTTTTCAAGACAGGGTTTCTCTGTGTAGCTTTGTAGACCAGGCTGGCCTTGAACTCACAGAGATACGCCTGCCTCTGGCTCTGCCTCCCGGGTGCTGGGATTAAAGCTTCTGATACTGAGGGATTCTTGGTTAGTGCTAGCTTCACCTGTGGTGGCTCTTCAACTCCTCTATCTGCAAAGGACCTGGGAAGAACTGTCAGAGATTCTGGATGGAGGGAAGTGTACATCAGTCTCCAAAGGCGTGTCCTGACACACACAGCACGTCAGTACCTTCACCACAAGCCAGAAAGAGGTCACTCGGGCACCACAGAGAAAGCACTCTTAAGAAGAGAATCCACGTAGTGATAGATAGGTGGACACACAAAAGAGAAAGGGCTCACTGTGGCTGAGCTTGAATTGAAACTGAAAGCCCTAAACAGCCCATGGGCAGCCATCTCCCTACCCCAACACAGCCTCCAACAGCCAACTTGGAAAGAGGAAAGTCCAGTGGGGCCAATACTTGCTGTTGGGAAGGGCATCTATCCAACTGACAAGCATCCAGATGAAGGACTCGGGAAGTGCCTCCCAACAACATCAGAACATCAGTTCACCACCAGTCAGCTGCAGATCTGCCTCCTGGACCAAGTGGTGCCCTTCCGGAACTCTCAGGCCAGGACCACATTTTCTTCCTCATTTATCTGCTTGGGCACTGTGGATATGCCATGACTGTACTGCCTAAGTCAGCAGCTACTAGTCATATGTTGGCACTTAAAATCATGAAAATTAAATAAATTTTAAAATGCAGTTCTTACTCTTACAAACTGCATTCAAGTGTTCAGAGTCATTCATCAGACAGTGCACACATAAGCTTGCCCACAGACGGCAATGCTGCTCACTTCTTCCTGAAGGCGCTTCCTAGAAAGAGACCATACCGAATAGCACCCATCCTTGACCACAAAGGTTTGTATTATTTCAGAGGCCAATACTATCCCTTGAGATACATGAGGTATTTTTCCAATTGTCCATTTTAACTACACTTTCAACCCATAAAATCTCTCCTTTCTCTATTTCCTAACACAGATTGCCATTTTTGATCATTTTAGCTGTGACAGAAATAATTCTAACTATACAGAAATGTATTTACAGTGATGGGAGTTCCTTTTGAAGGCCTG